TGTATTTATCCAAAAGCTCAGAATCTATGCGATCTTTCGTTCGCATAGACACATCTTCAAACAAAACAGAAGGGCATCCAACTTAAAATATAACAATAATTTAACAATATTTAATTATCATAATAACAATAGAAATAAATTATATCAATTATAATAAATTTTATTCATAGTTAAAGTAAACATACCATAAAGTAAACATACTTGATAAATGAATTTATCAAGCCAAAAAAAGATGACAAACTATTATTAGATTTTTAAAACTTGCTTGCAGAAACAAAACTTAAAATATTCACATGTATCATCATTTTGCAGCAAATTATTTTCCACTATATAATTCATCTTTTATCCATTATCAAATGATTGTCAATCAATTTAATAATTTTTAGTTATTTTGATAATAACTGGAGGTTGGCTACAAGAGCAGGTCCAACTATGTTTACAATGCATTTTTGCACAATGTCTAAAAGAGAAAGGGCATCATTGGAAGATCCACCCCAGATATGGCAACATCATTAAATACAAGGATGAAGTTAAGATTTATTGAGATAAAAAATAGAATCCTGAGTAAGAAAGTAGAAAGCACAATAAAGAGATGCAACAATAGTAGATGCAAATTTTAAAATAGATTTGATATATGGTTTCCAAGAAAGATCAGAAGTAAAATTTAATTCTAGAAGATGAAGGGTTGATTACCATTCATAAATATTCAAAAATCTAAATTATTGAAATAACTTACTGCCTTTCCTTTATTTCTTCTTTGTTATTGTCGCATTTTTCATCCAATACATATAATTTTATTGTTTTCGCAAATTTTAAAACAAATAATATTGGTAAAGTCTGAAACTTGTACAAGGTGCAAGTTCATAATTTCGTGTTTTATATTGTTTTTATTACTTTAAAATAATAGCATAAAAAATGACAAATAATGGTATCAATGCCATCTGAATGTTTGAGTTAATACTATGCAGTAACTAGAAATCAAAAAAAAAAAATTTTTTTTTTAAAACTGTCTATAAAAAAAATTATTATGAAGTCAAACTGCAGTTTTTTTGTTTTAATACCTCTTAAATTTATTATTATCGATAAAAAACGTAATAACGAGAAATGCTAATTATGTTAATATTTATTTAAATATTAGCATATTATTTATATGGTAAAAAAAATCGACTTAAAGTTCTCTAAAATAAGAAATCAAATTTTGAAAAAAATTCGAAAAAATTAAAATTTTTGCTCTTTTTTTTTTCTTTTTTTTTTGATGAAAAGTTTTTAAAGCGATGTTTAAATAACAAATATCATATTTTATCGCAAAAATATATTCTAATAAAATATAACTTCTGCCTTAATAGTATGTTGAACAATTCTTGCCATATTTTGAATTTCAAAATTTTAAAATTTTTTTGAATGGTTTTGCTTTACTTTGTGCTTTTAAAATAGTTGCACCTATAGGATGCAGTAAAAGGTTGCGCCTGTGGTAATAGTTATAGTTGCACCTAATTAGGAGACTTGCTTGAAAATGTTAACTACAATCTTCAAAAATGTTTATAATACATTTTGTTTTTTGAGTAAACCTATATCTTCAGTAGCTTAGTGGTTGAGTGCACTGCTAGCAGTGCAATGATTCTAACAGATCTGAATGTTCAAATCCAATGTTTAGTGAAAAGTTTTAAAGGTATTTTTCAATCTTGGCGTTTTTTAAAATACAAAACAAAACAATTTAAGCAAAAAAGACAGTAGTAGTAGACAATAGCAATTTTTAGAAAAGTTTGGAAAATTTTCTTATATCATACATAATACATAAACAATCCTTACATATACGATACAATAACTCAACTTACTTATTGATGTTTATTCATAAACATTTGTACACAGCATTTTATAAATGGATTTTTTACATTTGCATGATTATAAAACGTAAATTTTATTAACTTACATAAATTATTTATTTACATATTTGTATATAAATTTCTTACTCTTTCTAATAAAAAAAGTCCTAATATATGTATATATGTATATATGTATATATATATATATATATATATATATATATATATATATACATATATATATATATATATATATATATATATATATATATATATATATATATATATATATATATATACAGTATTATATATATATATATATATATATATATATATATATATATATATATATATAATATATACAGTATTTTATATATATATATATATATATATATATATATATATATATATATATATAATATATACAGTATTATATATATATATATATATATATATATATATATATATATATATATATATATATAATATATACAGTATTATATTATATATATATATATATATATATATATATATATATATATATATATATATATATATATATATATATGTATATATATATATATATATATATATATATATATATATATATATATATATATATATGTATATATATATATATATATATATATATATATATATATATATATATATATATATATATATATATATATATATATATATATACAGTATTGGACAAAACATTTGCAACCAACATCGAACAATGCTAAAAAGTGTTCCTAGTTTTACATGTCTTAAAAACAAAACAAACTATACTACCACAGCAAACAGTTCAGGGGTCTGGATTCATAGCATGCCATGACATGAGCAATCAGCTGACAGGTGACAGCACACAGGCAGAATCTCGTTGACAAGTGCCATTTTGCAGCGGACAAAACAAGTGGACTTTTTTGGTTTGTTTTATTTTCTTAAGTCTGGTCCGTGTCAATGTCACGGAAGATTTTTAATAAATAAAGGAAGTTTCCAGAAGCACACAGAAGCTTCCAGAAGTTTCCAGAAGAAGCATCTGGAAGCATCCAGAAACATTCAGAAGCATCCAGAAGCTTCTAGAAGCATCGAAAAGAAGCATCTAGAATCTTCCAGAACAGGTTCACACAGATTCATTTTACTATATAAGAGACATGAAAACCGACATGTAATTCAGTCAGTATATAGAAGTCAATCAGTCAGTATTATCAAGACAGTTTATCGAAGTGAGTTTTATCAAAGTATTTTATCGAAGAACATCAATACAAGAAGTGAAATACAACAAGTGTTTCATTACATCAATACAGTCCATATCCAACCAAGACGTGTTTCACAGAGCATTATTGCATCATCACAAGGTAAATGTAACACGGTAAGCCTTGGGAAGCGTGATTATTTATTTTTATTATTTTTATGTCTTCAAGTTGGTTGGGGAAGTTGGCAGCAGATAACAAAGGTGGAAGACTGCGTTCAACCACTTCTAGAGAGGATTCTATGATCGTCAGATCCGTTTGACTCCTGTTTGCTACATCTCATATTGACTGGAATGTGCAGAAATGGAAAACTGTCCTGTTCAGTGATGAATCGAAGTTCAACATCATTGGGAGCGATGGTATTTGCGTGTACGCCAACTGGCCAGAAAATGCCTCGATTTATGTTACTGCCATAAGACCGTGAAGCATGGTGGAGGCAATATAATGGTCTGGGGGTGTATTTCTGCTAACGGTCTAGGTTCAATACATCGAATCGATGGAATAATGGACTGTTTCATGTATAAAAATATCCTCAAAGATGCTATATTACCTCATGCTGAATGGAATATGCCAATAAAATGGGTTTTTCAGCAACACAACGATCCAAAACAAACTGCAAAAGTAGTCAAGCAGTGGTTTCAAGACAACCACCTATCAGGGTTAGATTGGCTGCCTCAATCTCCGGATCTCAACCCTATCGAGAACCTGTGGGAGTCAACCGCAGAATTATTCGTGAAGGTGTTCGTAATGAGGATCAACTATTTGAACAAATCCAAAAAACCTGGGCAGCAATTCCACAAAGTTTCATTAATCACCTGATCGAACCTATGCCTCGAAGATGCAAGGCTGTGATTGAAAACAAAGGATTCGCCACGAAATATTGATAGCGAAATACAGCTTGGTCAACATTTTGTGTATATATATATATATATATACATATATATATATATATATATATACATATATATATATATATATATATATATATATATATATATATATATATATATATATATATATATATATATATATATATTAGGGGCTATTCTAGCAAAAAAAACAGGGCAGCAGCACCCCCAGTCCTGGAGGAAATTTTGTCGAATATCTGCATTTTTTCACAAAAAAAAAAAATATATATATATTTGCTGTAAAAAACGTGAAAAAAAAAAGTCCTTATTTTTTAATTTGGGCGGCTCCCAAATTAGCGGCCAAATACAGTCGACAGTCTAGAACAGCCTAGAACATATATATTTAATTCTTTGCATTGCAAACAAAAAAAACTTCAAAAAAAGAGTTAAGAAAGAGTCTCTGTCAATGCTTACTTTTAACACTTAAGTGACCTTTAACATTTTACTTTTAATTGACAATTAAATCTTAAAACAATTAAATAGTTGTAAGAATTTAATTTAATTGCACCCAAAAAAAAAAATTAAAAATTATGACTAGAAAGTTTTTTTAACTGATTTCATTTTTTTATCTTCATTTTAATAACCAGCTACCCTAATAACTCCAAACCCTAACCCTATTCTATTTATAGATAACTGCACTTACATTAAATGGCTTAAACATGTAGAATATGCAGGGAGTGTACTTATTTAGAGGGTTTTGGCTTGGGTTTGGTTTTTTATTTCTAAAGTTTTTTTGTTTTTAATTAAATTTTAAATAAAAATATAGTTAAAACTTCATCTTTTATAATTTGGTTAAACATTTAAATTAATGGCGGTGTTAATCCGCACACCACTAACACTATAATTTATGAAAGAATAATTTTTAGCCATATTTTAGGATTAACACTTCTACAGTAAAAACATCAAAATTTTTAGTTTCAAGTCAAAAAACATAAATTGTATACTCAAATTTGATGTTAAAAAAAATAAATAATAAAATACAAGTATATTATTAAAAAAAATATTCGTACCTCAGACTTTGGCCTGTTATATTTTCTAGTATTTTGAGAAATGTAACTAATAAAGTCAGATTTTCTGGAACATTCTTTATTAGTTAATTTATCAAAGTATCCACTTATTGGGGACGAAACACTGAGAGCACCACGAAGACTTGTTTTTTCACATGCACAAACTTGCAGACTGTAACTAAAATTTACAGTGTCAACAAATAAATCCTCTTTATTCGAACATTCACAAGTATTTGAAACAAACAAATATATAAAGCATTCAAAAAACATTAAAAAATATCAATACTTTTGTGAGGAAAACTTGACAAATTTAAAAGTATGCAAATTCAAATCAACATCTTTTGTAGTATGTTTGGAAATAGAAACAAAATATTTTTTTATTGAAGATGTGATGTTAGTTTAATATAAAAAATCATATCAAATTTTCAAATCATATCACCTTAATGACAACTACAACAAATTATAAAATGTAAATACAACTGATATACAAGGTTCGGTAGATTTTGAACTATCCAAGAAATGATTGTACTTTGAATGAACCAAAATTCAAATAAGCAATATATAATATAACCATATAGATTGATTATACTTACTAAAGGACTTATAATAATATAAGACAACAAAATCACCAAAGCCTACAAAATAGGGCTTCAAGAAAATATTACAACTACTTTAGAGTTTTGGATGAGTTTTTTAATAATCTTACAATGCAGATAAAAATGCAATTGAGCATTTTGTGTATATAGCTTATAGAAAGTTTTCTTTAACAATTAGTTTAGCTCATTATGACTTTTGCTCAGTCTCAAATAAATAGATACTTCAAATATATGGAACATAAGAAATAGATTCTTGAAGCATAAGCAACATATTTCAAAGAATAAGATTCTTAGTGAATGCAACAATAGTACAATTTAACAATTTATTACCAACCAAGGAGCTAAGAAAAAATGTTTTTAGAATTGTTCCATCCATTTACAGAATACCAAAAGAGTTATTAAATTCAACTATAGCCTATTACCATAACCATGTGGTTTGAATAATCAATTATATGGTAGTGTAGAAAACTTACTTTACAAAGTATGAATATTATTCTTCATTACAACTTTGGTAGTAGTTCTATGTTTAAGTTGTTTTTTAGCACTGCTGTTTTGTTTGTCAAGGTTGGTGTTTTGAAGTTATAAGTTAAAGAAGGTTTGCAACATCATTAAAAAAAATAATAGTAGTATACACAACTTTAATAGCTCTCTTCTCCTAGGGAAGCAGATATTAGCGTGTCCAAAAAACTTATACCATTTTAAAAACAAAACTTCTCTGTACTTAACATAAATAAAACAAAACTTCAAATATTTTAAACTATTTTAAACAGAAACATTGAAATTTTTTATTATCTAATAGATTTATTAAGAAAACTTTTTGTTTTTTCATGAAGCAAAAATAACATTTTGAATGTGATCTCTTCCTCTACCTAAGCAACAATGCTAACTAGTGCCTAGACCATTTATTTCATATTCTAGTTATCATAAAAGTTTGTTTACATTGAGCCAGGTTAATTTTCAGATAGCAATGGCAAGTGATTTTTTGTCTACATGATAATTATGGTAATCCTATAACAATTTATTAAAAAAAAATTTTTTACCAGTTCACTAAAAAAATTATTTTTTAGAATCCAACTTTTTACTGCTAACTGTACAATTTGTACCAGAATCCATTTATGATTGTCATTCTGACAATTTAATTATTGTCTATTATCACGGCATTTCAGGTTCACTTGAACTGACTTAGCATAACTGTGTCATTAATTTGTTTTAACTTTATATTGCACCACAATTACATCATAATACAAACAATTGTGTTGATTTTTGATTTATTTAAACAAAATTGATATGTACATAAATAAACGATCCCTGCCACGTTCCTGGTAGTACCGCGCTCAACTTGTTTTTCAGCGCAGTGGCCTTGTTCATCAAGGTTCGTGTTTCAGAGTTATAGAGTTGAGAGAGAGTCATAACCACTATTAAGTAGCCTTCTCATCTGTAGTGGCCCTCTCGGTCTTGAGGAGGTAAATAAAAAAATTTAAAAAAATTTAAAAAAATTAATAAATGCAGAAAACTTATGCTGTGTGTATTTTTTGTAATTTTGAGAAATTATGAATATTACTTTTTTTTTGTAATATATTAAATTATCTAAAGTCAGAACTTAGGAGGAAGCATTGTTTAGAAAAAAAAACACTGGGTTATTACACACCAAAGTTACATTAAGTAACTTTTTTGCTATTACAGTGCTATAGCTAAAAACCAAACTATTATAAATGTAAAACTATTATACATGTTAAACTATTATATAAGTTAAACTATTATAGATATCACCCATGTACAAAATGGCACTGTTAATACTCTGATATTTTACAGCTGCTGATGGAATTTACCTTTCTGATAGGGAATTAGCTGATCAGGTACCATTAAACTAAATTCTGATATTGATCTTCATTAGCAGATAACAGAAAGAGTAACATAACCAAAATCCATGCACACAGTCACAATCTACAATTATCCTGAGCAGAAACAATATAATGCAAGTTTAAATATATGTAGCTTATTAAAAGAGGTCAACAGAAACTTTTTCAATCCAATTTTGAAATCATCCTGGAGTCAAAAATTAAATAAAAATATGAAATATAAATAGCTAAATATATATATATATATATATATATTTACTTTTATGAACAGTGAGCACAGGAGTAACTCAAGTTTCTATTACATTTTTACCATTAATCATTATTAGGACAACATCAGTATGAAAAACAACTTAAACCCTTGTAAACAGGTATGAGAGGCTAAAAACACATAACCAGAGCAGTAAAATGGGCAGGTGAAGTAAAGACAACTTACCTAGAAGAAAGAAAACTCTAATATAAAACTCCCTAACAGTACTCTTACCTATTTGGTAAGAGTAGAAGGAGCATATAAACTTTAGATAGAAATAAAAATATCCAGTCTTAATCTGCAAAACAAACTAACCCCAGATAAGATTTATGTTTGAAAAAAAATGGCTTTAACTCAACCACAATGCCATACTTATAAAAAATGTTATTATGGAAACCTGTCTAAACCACTCAAGTGTAGAAACATAAAACCTTAAAAAAAAAAAAAGAAAAAAAAAAGTTGCAAGTTACCTTTTTGTATCTAATGACTTTTCAGACTGTATTTCTTTAGAGTATACTTTGGTTTCTTCATCTCTATTTACAGGATATTGTTGAAGAGCATTTAGAGGTGAGCTGTTACTGCTACGATTTCTTTTTTTTAACTTAGTTTCCCTGTATTCTTCTATATATTTATTAGTATCTGTATAATGATGAAATATAAACTCAGTATCTTGTACATGAGAATCTCTTCCTCTTATATGCCATTTTCGAAACTTCAAATTTTCAGTTTTATTATCGCTCTTTACTTTTAATGTTTTTTTTACTGCTTGTAAAGACTGCAAAACATCTTGATTTAAACAAGATACTGAGGATTGCCAGGGTGAAATATCTGAATCAATATGTACCCTTTTAAAACAATGCATTATCAGTACCTTAAAGCAAAAATTATAAAAATAAAATTTTTCAAAAATATATTTAACATATAGGATAAAATTAATTAAAAGCATAAAAATTATAATATATAATTTAACTAAAATGTTTAAAATACCTTGATTAGAAGCTGTTTTTTCTAATGCATTGAATGAAAAACTAATAGAACAAACTATATTTGCTTTAAAGCATATATATGTAGATTTTTTGCCATAAAAATGCTAAGGACATTTACTAAACTAAAATTAATATGAGTTTATTTAAATTAAAATTTTGTTAATTTTTTTTTTAATTTATACATTAATATTTTAAAATTAATATTTGAATCATTATTATACTATTAAGATGTAAGAAATTCTAATGATCTAATGAAAGAGCAAAGCAGAGGAGCATTTAACCAGAAAGTTCATGCCTTCTTCCCTTTTGACTATCTGGATAGAGTTGACATCGAACCTAAATTCTTGATTCTGAGCAAGAATTCTAACCACTTCACCACGGTTTATTTTATATTTTTATTTATTTGTATTATATATTTATTTATATTATACATATTTATTTAATATAATCATCAATTATCACTATTATGTTTTTTCTGTAGCATACATAAATACATGCACTGCAGGACTCTATATGATCTAAAATAAAATCTAAACTTATTTGATTTTCAAGATATTCTTTATAACATTTTAATTCATATTCACTTAGCAGTCACCTTTTAGTTAAATAAGACCATCATTAGATAGTGTACTTCACTTCTCTCAGTTTTAAGTTTAAAATCTTTAATATTGATTCGGATTCTCGTAAAAATCTGCTTATATGTATATTTTCAGATTTTTTTGATTAAAGTTATGCAAAGCAAGTAAATCTATATGTAAAAATTATATTTATTTTTATGATATATCGAAGAAATATTGATAGCCTTGTTATCAATTGTATTAAAAAACAGTTCTAGCTATACTCAAGCTACATTCATTAGAAAAAAAGGGTCTAGCTATACTCAAGCTACATTCATTAGAATATCGTCAAACTTTTATTGATTTAGTTTTATGTTAAAAAATTGTTTTCAAATCTTACTTTTATAATCTTTTCTTACTTTTCTAATCTTTTTGTTAACTTAGTATAATTTACCTGAAAATGTTGTATCTACATTATCTATCTTGATGTTTAAAAAATATTTTGCTATGCTTCTTTGTTCTTCATGAATAAAATCTAACACTTGATACAATTTGAACATTTTTTAAAAAAATCCAAAAAACATTCTTTTAATGTACAACAGTATTAGTGGCCTTTGGGTCGTTCTGTTATTTTTCAAATAAATAAATAAATAATTATTATATATATATATATATATATATATATATATATATATATATATATATATATATATATATATATATATATATATTTATATATATATATATATATATATATATATATATATATATATATATATATATATATATATATATATATATATATATTAATATATTAATATATATTATATAAAACTTGTCCTTTGACGTTTACAACATTTGATGTTAACACAATCATCAAATAAAACATTAAGCGGTTAAAAGTAAACGTTTTCATTATGAGAGAGAAATACAAAAAAATAATTACAAAAAAATAATAATAATATAAAAGAACAAAACAAAAAAAAATACAACAACAGCAACTCGAGGAGCGGAAGAAGGATCGGTTATTTAAACTACTGTAAATAAAACTCTTAACTTAACGGCACTGTATCCAGCTCTTATCGAGTATAAAAAAGAAAATATAATACTTATAATAATAATGGTATTAATGCAATGATTTTATTTAATTTTTTCTACCCTTAAGGTAAGATCAGTTAACAATCTTCTAACAACACCTTTTCAACAAAAAACAAACATGCTTTTATTGTCAAGACAACGGTTAAACGAGTAACTTTTTTAATCATTTCGCCTTGTTTATATAATTGATTATCATGAAAATATATAGACGATAGTGTCTGTGCCGGTGACGCGATAAAATTAGATTCAGGAAATTAAAACTTCAAAGTCCAAATTTCCCGTAAAATAAGAGCCTTTTTAGTTTAAATTTACCAGAAAATTAAAATTGAAATGCTAAATTAAAATCAAAATCTTGAAATTTAAAAATCATAACGCTACGAGTCATCATTTCCCAGGGAATAACCATAGTCATAGTATTGAACTTAAATAAATTTAAGTTAAATACTATGACTATGGTCTATATGGTCATATATACCCAGCAAGTATGCCTTTATCGGGCCGCTGTCTGAAATACCGCTGATGGCATTTTGATAGTGTTATTTCCGAGGCTAGTGCACGTTGGACCCAGGGGCGGACTTAAACCCCGTCAAGTGCTGCAAGTGACGGGGTAAAAAAACAAAAATTAATATAAGTATTATGACGTCCAACGCCCGCCTAAAGTTAATTACCGATCTATATAATTTTGTTAGAAAATATAATTAGAAAAAGTTTACAGTGAAAACTATGCTTTGCAGACGTTTGAAAAAGTGTTTTATAAAAATTGCTAATGTAAACTATACTTTGCAGGGTATTAGAAAATTATTTTATAAAACTTGCTAATGTAAACTCTACTTTGCAGGATATGAGAAAATTGGATAAGTTCATTGGTTTACGCTATTAAAAGTAGCAATTTGATTCGTTTAAAAAAAAAACATGTTTAGTGTAAACTATCCTTTGCAGCATTTGCAGCAGTACTTTGATTGGTTGCAAAGATCGATAAACAATTCAAAAGAACTCAAGGAACTCAATGGACTCAGTTCTGAAAACAAAGTATTTCCATAAAATATTAACGTATAAGCATGGCTTACAACTTGATTGATGATGTACTTAAAAGATTTAAAACCGATAATCTTGTCGATTTAAATACTTTTTATGAAACTTTATTGGATACATTTATTTACAACAATAACAAAATGGTTAGTAACGAAGGTCTTTTAAGTCGTTTTATTGATGGCACAATAAGAAGAAATATATGTGCCGAAGTTTGTATCCCTTCTTACTTAAAAGACAATAAAATGCATTGTATTGCTCTAAGGTAAGTCAATTTACTTTTTTTTTCAAAAATAATTATCTTATTTTAATACAAAATTTAATACTTTTTTGTAAAAATGTTTATTGTTAATACCGTATTAATCTATAAAATATCCGTACTATCTATAAAAAAATCTCGTTGACTAATCAATATTTAATGTGTCAACACCGTCAAATGATTTTGACATGTTTGAATATAATATGTTCATGATGTATGTATTAAATTCCTACATGTCAAAATCAGGTAAAGCTACAGTTACGGGGCCTAAAATAATTATATTTTTGCCAGAAGGTTTTGCTACATCGACTATCTTATAGCCTGCTGCTACAAGGAAGTGCTGCTACAGCCACTGAGGGTTTGGCATGGGGAAGCAATCTTTTTTCTTTTATTATATCGATGTAGCAAAACCCCCTGGCAAAAATAAAATTATTTTAGGCCGCGTAACTGTAGGATTACCCAAAATCGTTTGTTGGTTTGTCTGAATTCTTGACTATTGATTTGATTTATGAATTTGTTTAAAAAGCAAAGATTTTTTACTCAATTTTAAATTTATTGATAAAAGAAGTTTAGCTCTTAAAAACATGAAGTAAATATATTTTTTTTTTCTTAAGGTCTGAAGCATCTGGAAGTTGTATGTACAGCTCTGGGTCATTATTTTTTGTTGCTGACAATACACTGATTAAGAGTTTTAACATCCCTTGAAATTTATATACATGCTGATTATTACTGTAAGCATCCTTTATTTTCAAAAAATATTTTCTGATTATAGTTCTCATTTTATTAATCTTAAAAGTTTATTGTATATGTCAGTATCTCATTCTGCATTAGATTCTGGCTTCAAAAATAATGATATTATTAAAGCTGAAGCAATTGCAAACTGTGAGAGCACAGAAAAATGGGCTGGTTTTTTATGTTTGTTAGGTTTATCATCAGTTCTTTCTTGTAATATCAGTAGTAAGAGATTGACGGCTATTGGACATTTTCATTTTCAACCAAATTTTCAACCATAAATTAATATTAATATTTGGTTAAGATTGAACCATATTGTATATAAATTATTTCAACAAGAAATAATTTTTTATTTTAAAAAAAATTGATTTTTTAAAATAAGTGTTAATTTTTATTTCTTGTTATGAAATATTACGAAAAATTCTTGCTGTGACGTCACGTGACTTTCTTGCTTCTTATTTATACCCTAATTCATGTAAATATTTAATTACTTCAAGGTGACCATTTTCTGCAGCATTATTAATTGCCCAATTTGTTCCTTTATACCCTAATTCATGTAAATATTTTAACATTTCAAGGTGACCATTTTCAGCAGCTTTATCTATTGCATCTTTTGTTCCTTTATACCCTAATTCATGTAAATATTTAATTACTTCAAGGTGACCATTTCGAGCAGCTTTATCTATTGCATCTTCTGTACCTTTATATCCTAATTCATGTAAATATTTTAATATTTCAAGGTTGTTATTTTTAACAGCTTTTTCAAAAGCTTGACCAAATTCATATTTTGAAGCTCTGTACCCTAATTCATGCAAGTATTTTAGCAATTCAAGGTTGTTATTTTTAACAGCTTTTTCAAAAGCTTGACCAAATTCAAATTCTGAAGCTCTGTACCCTAATTCATGCAAGTATTTTAGCAATTCAAGGTTGTTATTTTTAACAGCTTTTTCAAAAGCTTTATCAATTGCGTATTTTGAAGCTTTTTGCATTATTTCAAGATTTCCACTTTCAACAGCAGAATTAAATGTCTGTTTGTCACATTTATACCCTAATTCATGTAAATATTTTATTATTTCAAGATTTCCACTTTCAACAGCAGAATTAAATTCATATTTTGAATCTCTGTACCCTAATTCATGAAAGTATTTAATTAATTCAAGGTTGTTATTTTCAGCAGCTTTTTCAAAAGCTCTATAAAATATAGTTTTTGAAGCTCTGTACCCTAATTCATGCAAGTATTTAATTAATTCAAGGTTGTTATTTTTAACAGCTTTTTCAAAAGCTTGACCAAATTCAAATTCTGAAGCTCTGTACCCTAATTCATGCAAGTATTTAATTAATTCAAGGTTGTTATTTTCAGCAGCTTTTTCAAAAGCTTGATCAAATTCAAATTCTGAAGCTCTGTACCCTAATTCATGAAAGTATTTAATTAATTCAAGGTTGTTATTTTTAACAGCTTTTTTAAAAGCATCATCAAATGTATCTTCTGAAGCTCTGTACCCTAATTCATGCAAGTATTTAATTAATTCAAGGTTGTTATTTTTAACAGCTTTTTTAAAAGCATCATCAAATGTATCTTCTGAAGCTCTGTACCCTAATTCATGCAAGTATTTAATTAATTCAAGGTTGTTATTTTCAGCAGCTTTTTCAAAAGCTTGATCAAATTCAAATTCTGAAGCTCTGTACCCTAATTCATGAAAGTATTTAATTAATTCAAGGTTGTTATTTTTAACAGCTTTTTTAAAAGCATCATCAAATGTATCTTCTGAAGCTCTGTACCCTAATTCATGCAAGTATTTTAGCAATTCAAGGTTGTTATTTTCAGCAGCTTTTTTAAAAGCATTATCTACACTTCTTTTTTTGGATTGGATTAAATATTTAATCAAGTCAATTTTTCCTATTTTTACAGCAAAATAAACTTTATTACCTTGTTTATACAAATATTTTTTTAGATAATCATTTAGATCATAATCAATCATACCATCTTTATCTTCATCATATTCATCATATTCATCATTCATTTTATCATCTTTATTAATCATTTCATTTTCATTATATTCATCATCAGTCATTTCAATATCATGAATATCAATTATATTTAATTTTTCTTCTATTAATCTTAATCTTTCATTTATTGATTTTAAAAATGAATTTTGCATTTCGTTTTCCATTCTTTTTATATATAAAAGAAAATTATTTAACTCATTTTCAAAATTTTTTTATTTTTTGTAAAAAATAAAAAAATATTTAATTCTATAGTCTAATTATCAAATACAACTTCATCTTCATTATCATATTCAGTAGTTTCTGTAATTTCAGTAGTTACTACAGTAACTTCTTCAACTTCATCATCTTCTTCATCTTCATTATCTTCATTATCTTCATTATCTTCATCATCTTCTTCAGTCATTTCAATATCATTATCGTATTCAGTAGTTTCTGTAATTTCAGTAACTTCAGTAGTAGTAATTGTAGTAACTTCAGAATCTTCATTCATTTCAATATCATGAATATTAATAATATTTAATTTTTCTTCTATTAATCTTAATCTTTGTTCAATTGATTTTAAAAATGAATTTTGCATTTCGTTTTCCATTCTTTTTATATATAAAAGAAAATTATTTAACTCATTTTAAATTTTTTGATTTAAAGTATTTTTTACAAATAATAAAAGAAAAATGTATGATGATGAAATTAATGAAATATCAGAATTTCAAAAAGAATTTAAACTTTTTGAAGAAATATTAAAATTTGAATTTGAAGAATCAGATTCTGAAGATGACACTTATTATACATCTGATGAAGCTACTTATTATACATCAGATGATGAAGAAGTTAAAGAAAAACCTATAGTTCCAATTCCTTTAAAAACAGTTCAAATCATGGAACTGCATAAAGATAAGCTGAAATGGATTAATTATGTTCCAACTTATAATGTTATTAATGATGATTTTCCTGCTCTTGATGATACTTCTTTTAAAAAACATTACAAAAACAGAAAATTTAGTTTTGAAAAACCATTTAATGTAGATATTAATTTTACTGAAGATGGAAAACCTTCAACAATACATTTTGTAGAGAAACTACCCATTTTCTGTAAAAATATTTTAAAAGATAATTATTGTCATTTTGAACATAGATGTAAATACAATCATGATATTCCTTATTGTAATACTGTAAAGGAAAGACTCATATGCACTAAATCTTCATGTCAATATAGACATTTATCTCTATGTTCTGAATACCCAAAATGTAAGAATAAAAAGTGTAGATTGTTTCATCCCAAAAAGTCAGAATTATTAAAATTAAGAAAAGCTAAAACTAAATTATGCAAATATATTCTTGATAAAAAAGAATGTAAAAATATAAATTGCAAATATGCTCATTCTTTTAAAGAAATTGAAGAAAATGTAGAAATTTGTCATTATACTCCATGTAAATTAGTAGAGAGTAAATTAAAGAAAAATAAAAAAGGAGAAAAAACATTAATATATAAAAATAATGATAATAAAAAGTGTAATTTTTTACATCAAGGTGAAAGCATTTTAAATTATATTGCAAGAACTTTAAAAACAAAATAGATATGAGGATTACAGAGTGATTTAAAAAAATCTTTACATTTATAAAATGTATAATAGTAGAATGTTTTTATATTATGAAAAGCATAAACAATATAGAATAAATTTTTATATTAATTCAGATTTAGAACATAGAGCAATAAATGATAGACATATTAAAGTATTCGCACAAGAAGATTTTACAGTAAAATCAAATTCATATAATAACATTTCTTTAATGTGTGGAGTTGAAATAGATAAAGGACATATAGTGATTTCAATTGCAGAAAATTATAAACCAGAACTAAATTTACTAAATTCTATTGTAACAGAGTCTACTGACGATATTAAAATAACTGTATATAATAACGATAAAAAAGATATAAACATTAAAAAAGGAGATTTGTTATGTTGTATATCAACTTATAATGGTATTTTAAATGTAAATTATATATCACATAGAGATGCTTTAGAACATGCAAAAGAAGAACAAATGAGACAACAAAATGACTCAGGAACTAAACAGAAAAGTGATAAAGAATCTGTAAAATCTTTATTATCAAGTATAGAAGAAGTAATTAAAGATAAACCTAGTATAGATAAATCTGATGAAGATATATTTAATTTTGGTAAAAAGTGATTTAGCGAAGCATTGATCACAAAAGTGATTTAAAACAAATTTTTCTTTATAGAAAAAAGAAATGCTATGTAATAATGGATATAATAATGAATATAATAATGAATGTAAGCAGCTTTATCCAGATCTTAACCAGTTTTCAGAAAATCCATCTGCACCACCGCAATCTATAGATCATAACTTTAGATTACAAAAGATTAGTGAAATTCAAGATAAAATAGAATGTGAAAGGAAAAGAAGAGAGATTTTAAGTAAAAAATATCACAGAGCTGTAAGAATCATTTCAGCAGTTGATAATACATTACTAGCAAGCACTATGACACTTGGAGCTGTTGGTATTGGTTTTTTAACAACAATAGTTGGTACACCAGTAGCTATTGCATGTGAAGGTGCAGCATTAGGTATGGGTGTATTATCACTAATAGGATCACAAGTTAATAAAAAATTTACAATAAAAGCAGAAAAGCATGAAAAGATTAAAGTACTAGCTGATGCAAAACTAAATACAATAAGTAGTCTTATTTCTAAAGCTATATCAGATCAATATATTGATGATGCAGAATTTAATATGATACTTTCAGAACTTGAAAAGTTTCAATCTATGACTGAACAAATTAGAACAAAATCTAAGAATGATATAGATGAACAGACTAAAGAGTCAATATTTAATAAAGGAATAGAAAAAGGCAAAAGTGATGTCATTGAAGTGTTAAATATGAGATTTAACAAAAATCAGAATATAGGAGTGATGAATAATACTCTTAAGAATTAAATAAAAAACATATATTTTGTATTACTTGAACATATATTATGTATTAAAAACATAATATATGTTGATTTAAATCCATTTAGGGATCTAGGGATCACATTGTGATTTAAAAAAATTATTGCATATATAAAAATGTATGCAAAAGCTACAGATATTGATGCAAGATTAAAAATAGCAAAAGAACTTGCTAGTTTAAAGAAAAGTATATATCAAGATGATGTAAATGAAAAGTTGGGCTATGATGCTTTACAGACTAACTTGGAAAAGTTGTACAAGCCAATAATTGATAGTCAATCTGGAATAAAAGAAGGTATATC